AGTTCTGTTCCATCCATATAGTGCTGCTATGAGTTGGAATGAACTTGAAAGTAGTGGTTTGGTTTTAGTTTATATATAACCATCCAAGGTTACTGCAATAAGTTCATGGAAAAATTCCGTTATCTTTTCATTCCATTTTTCCATGAGCTTTTTCAAGCCCCATCGTATGTACTGGTATTTTTCTAACATTGCCTTTGAACAGTTTGTTTCTTTCTATAGGGACCACTTAAAGTGACAGTACAGGAGTTAGATGGATCCTTCAATCATACACTGCAAATTGAAGAAAACAGCCTGAAACATGACATACCCTGCCATTCCAAAAGCAGAAGGTACAGGCTTTGAATTGTCATTGTGAACTGAAGTGATTAAACTATGTCACAGTGTAAAACTCCAAATGAAAGTTTGTATTGCTGAACTTGTTTTGTTTTCTGTTAATATTTTTATCTTTAGAATCTTTATTATTATTATTATTATTTTTTTTTTAATGTAGAATTTTTAGAATCCGTTTATGGGTAGTGGAAGCATGAGTTTTTTGGACTCCTGGTGTGGTGCTGTAGAATCAGCACTGGGTTGAACCCAAAGTTGGCAGTTCAAACCTACCAGCTAATCCTTGGAAACCCTATATAGAGTCTCTGTGAGTCGGAACTGACTCAACAGCACTTCACAACTATTCAAAACAAATCACTTAGATTCATTCTGAAATAACTGAAAAAACAAACAAACCCAACAATGATAGCATCAAAGGAAAAGAACTGAATATATGAGTCATGAAGGCCCACTCCGTTTTTGCTCTTCCTCCTCTGAATCACCGTGCCCCTACTGAACATTCTGTGTGTCTTTAAAAGGCAGGTTGTCAGTTTACTATAAAAATGTCCAACAACTCACTTGTATTATACTATATTTACCTTTTACCACTTCTTTTTAATTCAGCCATTTGCATGTGCTCTGACCAGTAAAGGTGAGAACATTTCTGGGCTTCACAGGAGGAAGTTCAGCAAGGTTACAGTTCCAGGAACAGAAGTCTTAACAATCACAGTCACATTGAGGATGTCTCAGGCAGATGATGTCTGCTGATTGTCTAGGCCTTCAGAGAACTGGATTCTGAAATCTTCCTGTAATCTTTTTTTCTCTGACAAAATCCTTTCTTAGTTTAGTGTGAAATCTCCCTTTTTGTTTGTCCTATCTACCTTGGAAATTGGAAACATGTGAATGCTAGCTTTTTGATACCCTTTCCTCTGTTTTTTCCCCTAATTTGAACTGCTTGTCACCAGGGTGAGAGACATTAGCTGTGGTCTGGGTTCTTGTTTGTATTTGCCCACCCCTGAGGCTTTAGTTTATTGTCCTGGAGCTTTTTTCACAGCAGAATCATTTACATGGCAGCGGCAGTGCGTGTTTATACTCATCTTGAATCTTGTATGTGAACACTCTGAGGGTGCGTTGTTACAGTTAGTCATTCCTTTTGCTTTATCTGTAAGCAGGCCATAATAGCATTCATTCAGGGTTATCTCAGGTAGCCCTGTTTTTAAATTTGGGGCTTTTTTGTTATTGTTTTAAAGGATTTCTTTATTGATGCATCCTCTTATCTTTTCTGTATAAAGTTGAAATTACATGTTGTTGGGAATGTATGGGTTTTAAGCTACCATTTAATTATATATTTCTGCTTTTTGTTAAACTTTGGTCAAGAAAGAATTTCAGTATTGTTTATTTCATTCCTTCCTGCTTCAAGTAGACATTTATTTGCTGTTAAAGTCATTGCATTTGATCTCTTCCTCTTTTTAATGTCTTTTAATGTTGTCTAAAATTCTTCATTTGAGCCTTAGCTATTCTTTATGGTCTTCAAATTTGGAAATCTCACACTTCTCAAACTTAATTTTCCTCAAATGTAGAAATAAGAAGAAAAAAATTCCACTGATGAATGGAGAAGAAGTCGACATGGATCTTTCTGCAATGGAGTAAGTTACTTTAATTTAAAAATACAATTTTTTTGCATTCCCAGTTTTCTTCTTAAACTTTTCTAGAAGTATGTGACTGACTTCAAAATCAGTGCTTTTGAAGCTTTTGGTGGGCAATGCCCACCACTACCACCAAGTCGGTTCTGACTCAGCATGGCCCTATAGGCCAGAGTGGAACCTGCTCCTTAAGGATTTCTGAGAGGGTAAATCTTTATGGGAACAGATAGCCTCCTTTTTCTCCCATCAAGCGACTGGTGGGTGTGAACTGCTGACTTTGCTGTTAGCAGTTGCGTGCATAGCCTAGTATGCCACCTTGGCTCCTCAGTACTGGTATTTTGTATGGTACATATTTTGTATGGCATGGTATTTTGTACTTGTAACGAGTTCCCAGAGGAGATTGATTTTATCTTTCTATCTGTGTTCCAAGGCACTCTGAGGCTCCCTCTGTTTATAAAACAGAGTTTAAAAAGTACAGTCCTCAATTGTATGTGCTAATTTTATTGTTTCTTCTAATCACCCATCCTGCGCCTGTATCTTTTAAATAAAATATTTATGGATATTTACTAGATTGGTTGCCAAATTATCAACAATGATGTTTACATATGGCCTAGGATCAGGTTAATGCTAATCTTTTCATAGCAAATACCTTGCCTGTAGTTAGCACTCAGTTCAGTTATTGAATTGAACTACAATCTCAAGTGGTAGTCTTTGGATAAATGTGTTGCCATAGGTTAGATTTTTCAATTGTGCTTGTTACTTGGAGTAGTATGTAACACTAGATTCATGCTGTGCCCCTGAATTAATGATTTCAAATCTTAACTTTTGAAAATATCATCATGAGGCTAGCATTAAAAAAAAAAAGTGTTGAAAATCAGCTAAGCACATTAATTTAGTAAACGAAATGCTTTCACTTCTTAGTCACAGATTGGTGTCCAGTAAACGGTGGTATTTCTAGCTACAGGCAGTCACTGGGTTTTAGGAGCCAGGTGAGGCATTGGGCCTCATTTTTTACATCACACGAACGCTGTTAAGACGTAGCACCAACCATTCTTCCGCAGCCCCCTCTGCTCAGCTGTGCTTGATAATCCATTGCAATGGCCACACAATGCAGACCCCATATTCCCAGTTGGGAGGTGAACAGTTTACAGTCAATACAGGATCCGAAACTGCTCAGGGCACAGTTGTGCCACTCAGCTGCTGAGAACTTCTCACAGGCTACCTAGCTCCATACTATGGTGCTCGGCTCTAGCTCCACGGGTCAGCAAACCCCAACTGCTCCATTTAAGTGCCTGGAGGCACCCCACTCTACCCACAATCCTACTTCCCAAAGTCCTTCATCTGTTTACTCTGTGGCCTAGAAAGCCCAGTGCTCCTTCTCGTGCTCTGACTCTTGGTTCTACTGCTGCTGCTCCTCTGCCCTCCTCTGCTATTACAGCTTTCTGTCCCTGATTTGAGGAGGCTCAGTGCACCAGGATCTCAGGGTTCAAAGGCCGTATTCCACTCTCGGATGCTGTGTGTGAGATGCCTCATGTGGCACACAGTAGAGTAACAGGCTTTTACAATCACAGGTAACTCTGTTAATTCCTCACAACGTCATCATAAAATCCTGTCAGCATCTTCCTCCATCTTCTCTTAAACCAGACCCATCAGACCAAAAATGCTGTTTGGTGGGAATTTACAAAAACTGTGGCAAGAAGAGCCATATAAAGTAACTCATTACACTGCAAACACAAATCAACATCTTCTTTTATCCTTTTATCCTTGTAGATCTTTCTGGCAAGGTTGATATAGGTTAGACATTGTGAGAAAGTTGGAATGTATTAAGTATAATGATAAAATTGTCAGTGTGATTTAAAAAGAAGAATGAAACTCTTAAGGCAGTCTAGAATACCACATCTAAGGGGAATTTCTGTTTAATAAATGATTTCTTTTTACTTTCTACCTGAACAGAATGATAATTTGAACTTTTTGTTGTGAATTGAGTGAAGTTTTGCAGACACAATCATCAGTGGTAGATTCAACGAATCATACACTTTGTTTCATCTCAATGATTGCGTTCCCCTCCCTGCAACAACAGTGAATCCCAGTTCCTCCCCATCTTTTCTATTTCCATTCCTCCAGCCTTCCCATCTCATCTTAACTCCGCCCTTCAGTAATTAGGTTGCCCTTTTGGTTCTGAATGCGTGAGCATATCTTACTAATGCTGTTGTACCTCTCTATACTTGTGTGTTGCTTGGCTGAAAATTGGACCATGAGGGGAGTTTCTTTCCAGACCTGAAAGGTTAGAATGAGAAGTTTTTAAAGAATGCCTCTTTATCGTTCAGTGCTGATTCCCCATTGCTGTGGATCAGGATCGACCCCGATATGTCAGTACTGAGGAAGGTGGAATTTGAACAGGCAGACTTTATGTGGCAGTATCAGCTCCGCTACGAGAGGGATGTTGTCGCACAGCAGGAATCCATTTTGGCTTTGGAAAAGTTCCCTACTCCAGCATCTCGCCTTGCGCTCACCGGCATCTTAGATCAAGAACAGTGTTTCTACCGCGTGAGAATGGCGGCTTGCTTCTGCCTTGCAAAGGTAAGATTATGTCCGTATGATTGGAAAATCATGCTGAGTACTGCACATATTGTTTTCAAACAGACATCTGAAAAGAAGTGAAAATTCACCACAATCTTTACGTTTACTTGGTTGCTGGTCCTTTGAAAGCTTTGTAAAATAGGTTTTAGCACTAAGGATTGAATTGAAAGAAGCGTCTTTTGGTCTGAACACAGATATGCACAACTTCATAATTGTCAAACACAGAAGTCAGAATCACTAAAACCAAATAGAATCTTTTACCATTTTATTGAGTTGCAAACAACATCTTTAAAGTAAAGAATAAATGTATTTGATTTGAGTGATAGTTTGCAGTATAGTACAAGAAAGCAACCCTAATTATCCTACTGTGGTAATTTTACATTGATTTGGGCTTAAGAATCAATTTTAGTGAGATATGTAATTTAAAACCATAGGTGCTATAATTTAACATGCTAGAAAAGTTAATGTATTAAGAAAATTAAATATTTTTCTTTAGATGCAAAAAATCTGAAGGTAGAACAAATGAAAACCAGAAAAACGCAGACAAAAATTTGGCCAGAAATAATGGTTTCCAGGTATTTAAAAAGCACCTTGATAATAGGTTCATTTCCATTTAGCGATTTTCTTGCCTTTCTCACTGTTAAATCCATTGGTCCAATATGGCAACAGATTATAATGGCTTAAATTTGCTTTATCTTTAATGACAAGTGAGTAGTTGGATTCTTCTCTTCTCAGACACATGAGGGGAAAACTGATTATCTTGGGCAGTCACCTGCAAAGGGTTTAATCTCATTGCCTCTGTAGAGCGCTTCATGCTTCTTTCTTGGGAATTCCTAGCAGCACCATAAAATTCTAGGATATATTATTTAAAATTAATCATACTCTAACTCTTTAAAGACAGATGTGTTTTAGATATGCTAAAAATATCAGTCATAAGATAGGAATTTTTTGGAAAGTGAATGGTAGCACTATATATGACTTGCTTTTCTATTAGTGTAGATTGAAAAACTTTATTGAAAATCCATGATGATATTCCTTCTTTGTAAATGTCTTAGAATGACGTCAATCTAAATGAATAAAGACAAATCACATCATATTAAAAATAAAAGTCTTTTGCATATATTTTCTTAAAGCATAAAAGAATTACTACAATTAGAAGCTAACTTGCAGAAAAATGCTCATATTAAGAATTGTTTGGTGAGTAGTTTGTTTTTTGGAAATGATGAAAGGCTACCAAGTATTAAATTTCTGAGAATTGAAATTGTAGTCCTGGTAAAGTTTAGAGAGCTGTTTTATTTGTCTCTAAGACTGTGGTTCCCATGGTGATGGAAATGATTTCATTTTCTAATTATTCAGATTGCAAATTCAATGGTGAGCACATGGACAGGACCGCCAGCCATGAAGTCACTCTTCACCAGAATGTTCTGTTGTAAAACTTGTCCAAACATTGTGAAAACAAACAACTTCATGAGTTTTCAAAGTTATTTTCTACAGAAGGTACAGTTTACTTCGTACTGTGTTTTAATTTTCTTCTTATTATGTTATAAGCCACTATCTGTGCATCTCAGATGGGGTGTCTTTCTTTTTCTTTTTTTTTTTAGGGGAAATATATTTTTATCCCTTTTTTAAAAACTTTTTTTATTGTGAATTGAGTGAAGGTTAATAGAGCAGATCATCATTTTAACATTCAACAAATCACACACTTTGCTTCATTTCAGTGATTGCAATCGCCTCCATGTAACAACAGTTATCTCACTTCCTCCCAACTTTCTTTACCAACGTTTTGTCCTTTGGTAAATTCTGTCCTTTTGATCTTGCATGGTTGACCATTCCATGATGTACATAGCTTACTAGGTTGCTAGCCCACCTGTGTACCTATCTACTGCTTTGCTGAAGTTGACCCAGACTTCTGAAGGGTAACTGAGGGCCATAGTCATGGTTCCTCCAGTCGCCTTCTGACCAGTAACCCTGGCACTGTTTGTAATTTGAAGTTCTGTTCCACATTTTCTCGCAGTCTATCCAGGATCTTTTTTTTTAAATGTTTTATTGTGAGTTATGTGATAGTTTACATGGGAGAACATTAGTTTTACATTCATCCTATCGTATATAGTTTCATTGCCATGGTTACAATCCCCTCCATGCATCATCAGCCTACCAAAGGGTATACCCTGTAAGCCTGCCCCCAGCTTTATTTTTCTTAAGTAGGACTTCAAACCAGTTCTTCCCAGTTCAATCATGGCCAGTGAAGTAAAACTAGAGCACACCAGAATTTGTAAAGTGTGGGTATACTGGCATGATAAACCTGAACAAGAAAAATACAGTTGACACTCTGCTGGAAATAAATCTCTGTCTTAGAAAGCAAAGGCAGTATACGGGTTGCATAGTAACCAAGTCTCTTGACTGGCACAGTCAGAAACTGGAGGAAGAATCCAATGAAAAGGGAGAGATGAAATGATCACATTGCAGAAAGTAAAACCGAAAGAAGGAGCAAATTCTGCAGCTGCTACTCGAGAATGTGGTACAGTTTTGGAGGTGAATTTTAGAAAAGATAAGATTCCTTTTCTGAAGGCAGGTGGAAAGCGGGTTAAAGACAAGTGAATGTTGAGAAGGATGTTAAAGTAAATTGAGATTTAGGTTTCATTGATGGAAAGATTATTTAGCAGCACGGAGTGAAAATTGTAACATATTTATTATAAATTTCACCAGTAAAACAGATTCCCAGTGATCTAGGTTTGCTGAAAGGCAATATGGGTTTAATCTTGAAGTCTGTGGTATCCACTCTTTATATTTAAGAATAAGACATTTGATAATATTTAATGATCTCATCATCTCTATTATTGCTTGTTAAATGCATTTGATATAGAAGCAAATTAACTTCTATGTCCACTCAGTATATCACTTTCGTTGTTTCATTGTGTTTCCTTTTGCCATTGTTTCAAGTGGATATTTCTGACCCTTTAGTGAAAAGGTCATGAAATCAGTTTCAAGTTTGGACCAACTTTTTTTTTTTTTTTTAAATATGTGAAAAAAGACAAGTTGGGCTGTCAAAATTCATGAGATTTGATCAGGATCTATACAAGTTCTTTCACTTTTGTAATCTTTTGTTTTTCTTTTTATATCTATTGCATCTAAAATGTGTGTGTGCACACGTGCTAGGTTGAGATAGAAAATGTATTTCTTTCTGTGGGATGCAGTCAAGAAAGCTTGAAGAACTCTTATTTGTAGACCAGTCTGCCTTTCACTTTGCATTTTCGGTGGACAGGAGAAGATTGGTATCTAATTCAAATTTGAGCCCCAAAAGGACAGAATGGGCATAGGACAGATAACGTCAATGGAAACGATCCCTGAGTAGCTGTGAGAGCATCCTCCCTGACGGCTGTTGCTTCTGTTCAAAGACTTCTTTCTGACAAAGGAGTCTTGCCCCTTCTAATCCTCGGTTACCTTGAGTAAGAAGTGGGAGGAGTTGAAGTAGGATCAGCTCTGGATTGCTCACCACAAGATCAGCAGTTTAAACCCACCAGCTGCTCCTCAGAAACCCTGTACAGGATCGCTATGAACAGGAACCGACTCCCCACAAACAACTGAGGAATGTGATTATCTGTTCATCTGTAGTTCTGTCTGGAATTTAATTAACGTCATTTTACTAGTGTCTACCTCCTGCTTATTAAGTGCTGTCCAGGAAGTTCTGACTCACAGTACCCCTGTATAGGGCTTCTGAGTAGCAGCTGGTGGATTTGAACCACCTACCCTGCTGTTAGCAGCCCAGTGCTTACCCTGCAGCACCACACCAGGTCTACTCATAGAAGTTAGTGCTGTGTGTGAGTCATTTGGAAAGGAGAAAGCTAAGCTGAATTTCAGACAAGTGACCATTTTCTGTACAACTTTAGGCTGAGAATGAAAGCAATACTGGAGGATCAGGGTTTTCTAAAATGTATTATTGAGCTCTCCTGTATGTTACATGATTGCAGCCAGACTATCATTTAATCCTTAAAATAGCTCTACGGAAACAGGCTCCTAAGCAGTAAGCTACTAGTTAAAGACATCAAGTTTAGTAGGTGCAAACAAGAGTTGCTACTGTCTGCCGTCTAGTTGATTCCAACTTGTAGTGACCCTGTGTAGGGTTTTGGAGGAGGTAAATACTTACCGGAGCAGAAAGCCTCATCTTTCTCCTACAGAGCAACTGGTAGATTTGAACTGCTGATCTTGTGGGTAGTAGCCCAACACATAGTCCAGTACTCTATCAGGGTTGCTAGGTGTAAGAGGTAGCAGTTGAATAATGGTCTACCTACTGCTAACACTTACCTTTTCCACTGTAGCGCATGGAATGGAGTTTACGTCATTTACCTTATATACACCTTCCTTTAGGGTAGGGTATATGGACTGCAGAGGACTTCATTAAAGTCTTCAAAACATAAAAACCCTTGAGAAATAAAATGATCAAAAACTTATTTGCCTCATTCATCACGCCTACATTAATAGGCCTTCCCATTGTTTTACTAATTAGAGCATTCCCATGTGTCTTATTTCCAACATCAAAATGATTAATCAATAATCGATTAGTATCTTTCCCACAATGACTAATCACTCTGATTTTAAAACAAATAATGTCTATGCATAACATTGAAGGACGAACTTGATCCCTAATATTAATGTCTTTAATTCTATTTATCGGTTCTGTAAACCTGTTGGGTTTATTACCTCATTCATGTACACCCACCACCTAACTATCATTAAATCTAGGAATAGCAATTCCACTATGAGCAGGGGCAGTAATCATAGGCTTTTGACACAAGACTAAAGTGTGCCTCGTCCACTTTCTTCCCCAAGTCACCTAACCTGTTAGGTGTTCATTCATGCAGCTTTTCCCTTGTATTCCCATTCAACTCTTCCCTTAGCTTAGAATGTTTGTGATGTGTACTCAGTGATCAGAGGTGGAAGCTAGGGAACTTTGACTTGATTTAGATTTTCTGTGTCAACCCTAGAGAGTAGCTCTTTTTCTGTATATAATTCAATGAATTGTAGTAATGATAGAATTAAATTACATGCTTTAAAATATTTTTTTTTGTAGACTATGCCAGTTGCAATGGCTTTGTTGAGAGACGTTCATAATCTCTGCCCCAAAGAAGTCTTAACATTCATTTTAGATTTAATCAAGTATAATGACAACAGAAAAAATAAGGTAAGCTACATTTCTTAAGGAATACTATAAAACTACCCTTGGATATTTTGTTTATAAACAAATGTTTAGTCATTGTTGAGTCCACGGTAATTGAAATTTCTAGAGCTAGAGACCTAGAAATTGGGTTTATTAGAATAATTTGTGGATACACAAGACCTAGTTGGTTTTGAAATGTTCTTTCTACTTGTGCCTCTTGTAATGTAGGGGTAGTAATGCATGCACCAATTTTGCGGTGCCGACTAAAGCTCGTTTGGTTGAAGTCTTGACAGCACAATTACATTTTTATCCCTCTTTTCTTTTACCAAGTGATACGCAGAAGATAATTTCCACTTGGGATTCGCTTGTTCATTGATGAACCTGACCCTTTTCTATTACCATTATGTGAATTTATTCACTTCTTTAACAAATAGTTATTGACTGCTGTGAGTTAAAAGTTACTTCATTACACTTATTATCAGTCCAAAGTTAGCAAACGTTTTTGAGCAAATATGCTGTGCGAGGATAATACACGCTTATTAGAAAGAGCACGTGTCTGATGTATTCAGGAACTTCGTGCAGTTATCAAACATTTATTGAACAACTGCTGTGTATTGGCTTGTTTCTTTGTCGCAAATGTATTGGGGGGTCATGGGTTTGAGAATGGTTTAGATGGGTGGCTTTGGATTGGGATTTCTCCTGCAGTTGCAATCATGATGTCGGGTCAGTAGTAGCGCTGTCTTCTGTAGACTTGAGTGGGCTGGTAGAATCACTGGTTAGAAGGTTATGGTGTAGCTGCAGATGGGAGCCCTCAATCCCTTGCCACATGAGCCGGCTGATATATTCTCACTTGGCTACTGGCTTCCCCCAGACCTAGTGATCAAGAGGGAGACCAAGGAGGATGTCACATTGCTTTTTGTGACCTCATTTCAGAAGTTACCGGCTGTCACCTTGGCTTTATTCTTTCTGTTCATTGAACGTTCAGCCTGCATGCAAGTGGGGGCGGCGGGTGGGATTTATGAATGTATTTTAGATAAGAACTTTTCACTAGAGCAATAAAGTGCAAGGAAGGTAAACTTTTTGAGTCCTTATAAGTTGCAGTTCATTTCAGATGCCTTCTTTAGACAGCATAAGAGACGACTATACACATGAACCTCACTAGATGGAATACACAGAAATCACATTGACTACATCTGCGAAAAGTGACAATGGAAACGCTCCATATCATCAGTCAAAACAAGGCCAGGGACAGACTGTGGAACAGACCATCAATTGCTCATATGCAAGTTCAGACTGAAGCTAAAGAAAATTAAAACAAATTTATGAGAGCCAAAATTTGACCTTGAACATTGCTGTTGTTATGTTCTGTGGAGTCAATTGTAACTCAGCGACCCTGAACAGGGTTTCTGAGGCTGTAAATCTTTACAGGAACAGAAAGCCTCATCTTTCTCCTGCGGAACAGCTGGTAGTTTCGAACTGCTGACTGTTAGATTAGCAGCCTGATTCGTAAGCACTACGCTACCAGAGCTCCTTGAACATATCCCCCCTTAATCTAGAGATCATCTCAAGAACAGATTTGATCTAATTGATACATTAGACACTAATGACCCAAAGACCAGAAAAGTTGTGGGATGACACCAAGAACATTATATAGGAAAAAAAGCAAAGGCTCATTAAGAAGACAAGAAAGAAGGAAAAGATCAAAATGGATGCCAGAAGAGATTCTGAAACAGAAGAGATTCTGAAGCGTAGAGATGCTAAAGCAAATGGAAGAAATGAGTTTAAAGAGCTGAACAGAACATTTCAAAGGGCACCTCCAGAAGACAAAGTCAGATGTTATAAAGAAATGTGCAAAGACCTGGAGCTAGAAAACTAAAAGTAAAGAACACACACAGCATTTCTCAAGCTGACGGAACCGGAGAAAACAATGCAAGCCTCGACTTGCAGTATTGAATGATTATGTGGGCAAAATATTGAATAATGCAGAAAGCATTAAAAGAAGCTGGAAGGAATACCCAGAGTTACTGTACCAAAAATAAATGGTCAGTGTTCAACCATCTCTAAGAGGTATTACGTGATCAGGAACCAATGGTGCTGAAGGAACCAATTGGTGCTGGACATCCAAGCTGCATTGAAGGTGTTTGATAAAAGTAAGGCCCTAGGAATTGATGGGATATAAATTGAATATTTTCAACAAACTGAAGCAGCCCTGAAGCTGCTTGCTCATCTATGCTAACACATTTGGAAGACAGCTACCTGGCCTACTGATTGGAAGAGATCC